CGTTCTTTTTACATTTTTGTATTAAACTGGAGTTCTTTAATCTTTAACTGTATATTTCATTTAAAAATAAAGATAACGCGGTGAATCAAGAACAAAATGTTAAGAGAAGATGTGGCTATAGTTTGATTATAAGATACATATGCTGTTATAGCTGGTACAATCCACAGGGCGTTTTAAATTTCCGGGAAAAAACTTATTATCACTCTTGCACCCTGTATAATATACAGTGTATATACTCAAAATGTTAATTTAAAAAAATATTTTAATAAACGCATTATAACCGAAGAATAAACCTACAATTTATTATAAAAATCACTAAATTCGGTTTGACGGTTCGCGAGAAAATCAACTTTGAAAATGTGACAAACTTTTAGTGGTGCGTTAAATTTGAGGCGAAGTGTAGTTAATTAAAATATTATTTTTTTTCTCATATTTAACGATGGGGGCGAGTGTTTTTGTGAATGAATAATTGCTTGTAGACCTATTAACAATGTTTTTACAGATTTTGAAACAAAAAAAAAATTTAGTGAATTATTTGTTAACTAAGCTATATTTGCTAATTAATATATATTTTTTAAATATTATGAAAAATTTTTTGAAATCGGGACAACATTATTTATTAGAATAATCATTAAGAGTCCACCAAAAAAAAATTCAACCATTTTCATTTAAATATGTATGAAATATGCCTACTTGTTTATAGCAATGCATTTGAGATGCGTGATTTTTCTAAATTAAACAATTGCGTTGAGCGACCTCTAAATTTTAATTGATTTCTCTCAAATTTTTACAGATTTTTATTTTCTTGATACTCTTTGAAAACCCGAGTGGTCTCGCATAGAATTAAAAAAAAAAATTTTTTTGCATCACCCTAATGCACAGCGATTTTCAGCCCCATAAAGAAAAATTATTTCAATTCTTTCCTCTAAAGTGTATCCCATTTTAATGTCTTAATTTTAAACTTACTAGGAGCAAATGAATTAATGATAAAAGTGCCAGTTTAAATGTTTTAAAGGACATTTTTATTACCTTTTGCACAAAAAGATACCTAAAAACAATATGGTTTTTACCTTATTATTTTATCTTATCAGCACACATTTTATCTTCCAGATCCTTAAATAGCCATCCGATTTACTATTTTTTCACACCATTGGATAGAGAATTTTATGCTCTTCAAAATGAGGTGTCACTTGTAGGGGGGTGCCATTTGAAATTTTAAAGTGGGGGTGGGTAAGCGCGAGGGGGTGAGCACTAGATTAAATTAAATAATGTGATAGAAATTCCCCCTTCTTATATAACTCGACATATTTTTTGGATTTTTTAAAATTCTTAACACGTTAATTTAAAAGATATTTAAGGTGGTTCGTTTTAAAATGAAAACCCTGTATAATATTGTATAGACATATATTTAAATTATAAAATTGAAATAAAATGTTTCATTAATTATATATTTTGTATATTATTATATATCACATAAATATAAATATATCATGTAAATATATTATTATTTACATAATAATTAATTAATTAATTAATATTATAAAAACTTAAATTTTGCAGATCTATGCCATCTGAAAACCTTTTGGTCATTGTCTTTAGCAGCTGACACAGGACACAGGCCATCACGTTTAAGCCTGAAACCTGCCACTACTAATGTGTATCAAATAAAATAAAATAAAACCAAATACGCTCCAGTTTTATGAATTCCGTAAACATCCTAAAAAATATATGAATGGCACCCGTGCTAAGTGGCTTTACTGGATCTCAAATTAAATCTGAGATATGGGCTTAAAGCATTTTAGCGTCAAACATGGATGTTATGTTTTTTAGACAAATTTTAATAAAAATATTTAAAATTATTAAATTATATTTTTTTACTCCCATCTTTAAGAAAAGTTAAGTTGACAGTTGTCAAATGTCATACAATCGTTAAAATAAAGTGGTCTTCTTGTAAAATAATACTAAATGTGAAAATGATTTTATTATCTCAATACAAAAATACAAAAGCATGAAATAATTTCTCAACGCCAATATTTGAAAACAATGTACTGACCTTCTAATTTCCCCGGCAGTAAACTAGATATAACTTAAATTTGGGTTCGGACTTCACCGAGAAGTGCTCATGAAACATTTTCTTCACTTTCACTGTGAAAAACTGTTGTTTATCAGTTTTTAAGGGATACATTTCGGTTTATAACAAATTTTACACTTTTTATCAACTAAATAAACAATTATAAAAATACCTACTTGAAATGTCAAAAAATAATAGTAAAATGTCACCACGAGAAACAAAATAATTCAGGTTTGCGGAGTCATGTCAAAATTACATTTTGATTAATGTTTTCGGTGAAAAAAGTAGGTACTTAAAAAACTCAAAAAAATCAAATCACTTTAATTTGGTTTTTATTAAAGAATAAACATATTACAAAATAAAAGAAAAAAAACCTAAAAATCGTCAAAAAGCTAAATTTTGGTCTAAAAAATTCATAACTTTTAATCCATGGATTTTTATTAACATAAGCTTGTTTTTTTTGTAAAAATGTCAGCTTTACGAAAAAAAATCAAACTGGACTTATCTGCTTGATTTAAACCTTTCCCCAGGATGATATGTAAATTTTCGACCTCAATTTTTGCCATATAAACGAATTTTTAAGTTATCAAAATCGCTAGCATCACAATACTTTTCCATTATTAAAAGTATGTAGAAGAAAGCTTTAGAGGGCTTAAATACCTTCAATTTAAGAGCTTGTTTGGCCAAATCGATCAATTAGATTTCAAGCTATACTCAAAAACGTCAAAACACTTCCAAACATTGAAGAAAAAAAAACAATTGAAAATGCATATCTCAAAAACGCTTCCATAAAAAAATTGAGTGTGATTTTCGTGTTTAGTGGGTCAAAATACATGGGAAAATTATAATGGGATATGGTGGGCAGACATTTATTCGATTTTGTAAACTAGTGTAATAAGTAATTGTCGCAGAAAAAGTATAGTATGCAACTCGTTTATAAACTTTTCTAGACACTCATTAATTTAAGCACTCGCTCGCAAGCTCGCTCGGGACTAAATTAATTTCGTGTCTAAAATGGCGTGTATCAAACTTAATACTATTAAAAAAATCAAAATCATGTTTAAGAATATTAAAAACCAATTATAAAATTAAAAAAATATATTTTATCTATTTTGGTTTCATAATGACTTCATTATAACACCGCTTTTGGTTCTTTAATGAGGTACTTTATTCCACCCAAAATTTTGATTTTATAGGTTGGCTACTGGTAAAATACAATTTTGAATACCTATAGGTTATAATATTTTTATGATTTGTTTTCTAGTACTTACGAGACTTTTCGTGCAATAAATTTTGTTTAACACCAAAGAAAATCCTTTTTTCTTCTTTAACAGCCGCTTATTGTAAATACTTATTGTAAATTAACGACGCCATAGCGAAAGAATGTGATAATGTTTGAAAGGTTAATGACCTTTCAAACTTCAAACTTTGTTATCTATGATACCAACTATGTAAAGTAAAATTTAACCAAATTAAATACAAGGTATAAAATTAATTTATTTTATGAAATGTTTGCAAAATAGATAAAATAGCATAAAGAACTCATGTCATAAGACCTTTTGTCGCACTTGTCCATTAGAAAACTCGCTCCTTCGTCGCTCGTTTTATAAATTGTCCGCGTGCGACAAAATGACGTCTTATGACATTAGTTCTTTAATATACTATTAATCGAACCGCATTCTTACCAAATATATTTTTTTTCTTTGCAAACATAAAAATAAACAAATTAAATTTAAAAACTCAAACTAAATATTTTTAACATTGGGGTCATTCCTCGGCACACCCAGCACGATTAAAAATTTCCTAATTTCCATAAATTACATAATTTTAAATTTATTTGATATCGATTAGATTTTGCATATTTTAATATTGTGCTCCTCAAATTAAAAATTTAACTAGCAATAATAGTTTGATATTGTATTAGCAGGTAATAAAAATAATTTTTATTAATTTAACTGATTTTAAAAGTTTCAAACAATTGTAAAAACTTAAATTTAAAAATTTATACTAGGTTATAATTTAGAAAGCCTAATAGGTAAATTATTGTTACCCATAATATAACAAGTGGTATGATTATCATCGATGATATTTTCGAATTGAAACCGAGCTGCAGATTTCACGAGTCCGCAGGACGAGTGAAATGTGCTGCTTCGGTTTTAATGAGTAAATATCATCGATAATTAATCATACCACGAGTTATATTTAGTGAGAAAATATAATGAATTTTAGGATTTAACGAATTTTTAGTTTGACATTTGAAATTAAAATGTGCTTTAAAATATAAAAAGACTTTAATAAACCTTATTTATTCAAACTTACCTTAATTTCATTATCGTACACCAACCCATCGATCTTTTACAGTTTATAATTCATTATTTTATTGAAATATATCAAAAACAGAATTTAAATGACAACAAATGTCAAATCAAAAAAACGTCAAAATTCATAGTAACGTGTAAACAAGATGATAAAAATTATTGCCGCTGTGATAAAATACGTCACTATGGAATACTGGCATTTTATTGGTTCTAATATTAATGAATTGTATTGTCACTTATACGCAATTTCACACGGTTCGAAACTGTTTTTAACAATTATATTTAATTTTAACGTTTTGCATACTAATGATTATTGTTCTTGGAAATGATAATTAATAATCCTACACTGACAATCTTATCGGATAAGATCTTTCTATGGTTATATCTTGTATTGTGTTGAAGCTATTACTATGTTTGTTTTTATTAATATAGGTACGCAATTTCGAAAGATATGTATCTTTATTATATCGTTCATTTAAAAGAACAGTGATATTTGATTTATTATCTATGGGCATAAGAGTGCAAATATTAACAATTATATAGGACATTTTAATTTTTGATTTGTGTTATTTTTATTAAATTCAAATTTTAAAATAATTATTGAGACTTACCAAAAATATACAAAATATGCAATCTATCAAAGGCACTGATAAAATTCGCCTAAGGTGGCGTATTGAGACCCGCATCTTCCCGTGGCCCTGTAAAATAAAATAATAGTTTTAGTTAAATATAAGCATTAAGATATTTATAAATAAGAATAATAAGTTTTTAATAATTGTCTTATTATGGCATAAATACCAATTGGAGCACGAAGTTGCGTTTTATAATAAAAATGCATTTGTTTAAAACGAATTAAATCTTTATGTTGTAGATTTAACAGAAGAATTTTAGAATAAAAATAAAAAAATAAACATAGTAATTAAAATAAATTTCAAAGGCCGCCAATAAAGCTAACCCAAAATTGATGGTGTCCCAAAATTGGCACCGAATTTGTTTTTGTTTACTTTTCCCAATGATGGAAAGAAACACTGCACTTTTATTGGCGGCTTTATGAATTAAATAACCCCTCCAATTTCGCAAATTTAAAAAAAGGTAGAAACAAATATTCTTGTAATTTTAAAAGGAATTTACCTTTCCCCTTTGGGGCCGCTAATTTTGGGACACCCGGTATAGTTCATCAACGGCATCAACGTTTAACGATTTGATATATATCATATATCATATACATATGTACAACAATGTGAAACAGGAGTTAACCCTTTATAGGTAGTGTAGCGAGTACCGCCCTGGATATCGGAGTGATGACTCATCGCCGATTAGTCATTGCCGGTGAGTCATCGCCGGTGACTCAGCGCTCGAATAATCGAGAGTGTGGAGCTCGCTGGAATGTTCCAGAAGACCTTGGCGCTGAATATATAAGAAACGGAGCATCACAGAACAGGCAGTTAAGATTTGGTACTCGCGGCGAAATAAATAAATATAAGTGCAAATAAATAGACTCTTGAACAATAGTGATATATAAATAATTAGTAGTTAAGTGTTTAGTTAGTTTTATAGTGATTTATAGTGTTTTAAGTGTAGTTAAGTTAATAAATAAATAGTTAAGTTCGTTAATTAACCAGTGCGTGTTTTTATTCACACTACGAACAGTTAAAAACGTTACAATTGGTGTCAGGAGTGCGGTTAGTGTGAAATTTCGCGAAAATGGTTTCGTTAATGGACCTAAAAGTGGCGGACCTTAAGCGGGAGCTAGAAGAAAAGAAATGTGATACAACTGGGAAAAAGAATGTGTTGCAACAGCGGCTTCGAGAAGCATTGGAACAAGAGGGTGAAAATCCAGATGAGTATTTATTTGAAGGCCCTTGTGACATGCATTTAATGTTGCAAAATTTACAACAGAAGATTCTGGAAAATGTCAACGAATTAAAGGACGATTTGCAACAGAAAATGCTAGAAAATTCTAAAAACCTAAAAGAATATTTGGAAGGGAAGATTCTAGAAAATGTCAATGAATTAGAAGAGAAAGTTGACGATGTAAGGATGGAATTAAATAACGTAAGGATGGAATTGGATACGAGAGAAGAAAAATTGAACGAGAAATTGGAGGTCAAAATTAGAGAAATAAATAGTAAACTGAAAGCTGTAAATTTACCTATGATGCTGACGGAACCAGGAGTAGTGCAGGAGGGAAGCCGAGTACGGATGAAACCACCTCAGTTTGATGGAAAAACTTCTTGGACCAATTACATCCGTCAGTTTGAGGCAGCAGCAAAAGCAAATGGCTGGCTACCAGAAGAAAAAGCTACAGCGTTGACTCTGGCTTTACGCGGAGATGCAACGGACATCTTGCAGACGCTTTCTCCAAACGAACAAGAAGATTACGAAGCGTTAGTGAAACATCTGGAACTTCGATATGGCCAGACACATCTGGAACATGTGTACCATTCCCAATTGAAGAATCGCTGCCAGAAATCGAACGAGACTTTACAAGAATTTGAGGCTGATATTGCACGCTTGGTCCGGCTAGCATATCCAGCTACTCCAACGACCGTTATGGAACGATTAGCGGTTCAAGCCTTTTTGGATGGACTTCGGGACAATGAAACAAGACAGGCTCTGACATTGGCTCGTCCGAGCCAACTGGTTGATGCATTGGCTCGAGCTTTGGAATTCGAGGCGGCAAAGGAGAGCTGCAGGAGCCAGCCTAGAATTAGGAGAGTCGAAGAAGAAAAGAAGGAAAAACCCAGCATAATTGAAGCAATTAGGCGAGTTCTTAAGGAGAATTTACCAGAGAAGAAGGAAATCCGGTGTTGGAGATGTGGAAAGCTAGGACATATACAAAGTCGTTACAGAGGAAGTCAGGTGGCGCCGACTTCATTTAGAAAAATAAATAAGGCCGAAGAAAAGGATGTGTATATTCGCAGGACTACAATCGTAGATGATCATTGGCAATCCGCTGAGGTTCAACAAGACCAGGAAAGGGATCCGGATTTGAAGCTTATCATCGATTGGAAGAAGAACGACCGTAAACCAACGTGGCAGGAAGTCGCCCAATATTCGCCGAATGTGAAATCGTACTGGGCCCAATGGAATTCCATCATCTTAAGTGACGGGCTTCTAAAGCGCGTTCTGGAGATGCCAGAAGGGGGGGAAGACCGGAAGCAGATAATAATCCCCAGAAACAGGATACCAGAAGTGCTGCAGGAAATCCATGATGGAACTACTGGAGGACATCTTGGGGTCACCAGGACGCTCGGAAGACTTAGGGAACGGTTTTATTGGGTCAACAGCCAACGAGATGTAAAGGAATGGTGCAAGAAGTGCGCCGTTTGCGCGGCAAGCAATGGACCCCAGAAGCGCCCAAAAGCCCCAATGCGACAGTACAATGGGGGCAGCCCATTTAAAAGAATTGCAATCGACGTGGCGGGTCCATTTCCGGAAACAGAATCTGGAAATAAATACATCATCGTTGTAATGGACTACTTTAGCAAGTGGGCAGAAGCGTACGCCTTGCCAAACCAGGAAGCCGCCACAGTAGCCGATGCCCTTATTAAGGAGTGGATTTGTCGTTTTGGTGTCCCAATGGAAATGCATTCAGACCAAGGCAGGAACTTTGAATCTATATTGTTCCAGAATGTGTGTAAGATTCTTAACATTCGGAAGACGAGGACGACCGCATTACATCCGCAGTCTGATGGAATGGTGGAACGAATAAATCGAACGATAAACAGGTACCTTTCGAAGGTAGTCTCTGATCACCAAAGAGACTGGGACCGCTTCCTCCATCTGTTCCTGTTGGCGTACCGTTCTTCTATCCACGATACAACCGGCCAGACACCCGCTAGCATTACCAGGGGAAGATATTGCTGGAGAAGATTATGTCAGCAATTTACGTAGGAAAATGAGCGACATTCATAGCCGAGTTCGTTTAAACATCCAGAGTGCCAGTGATAGAATGAAAGAGGCATACGACATCAAGGCGGAAAATGGAGGATTTCAACCTGGAGACCTAGTTTGGTTATACAACCCTCAACGCCGTCGTGGTTATTCACCGAAGCTGCAGACTTCTTGGGAAGGACCATACGAAGTCATGGATCGAATAAATGACATCATCTATAGGATCAGAAAACAACCAAGAGGAAAGCCGAAAGTGATCCATTTTAACCGATTGGCTCCTTACGCTGGAAACAATGATGACCAAATAAACGACGCTAGAGTAAGGAAGGTTAATCCGCCGGAAGACGACTTGCCTTTTGAAGACTTCATGTATTTATATTCGAGCGGTAAAAAAGCTCGCTACGGTGTCACTCAAGAAGAACAAAAAGTTCTGTTCACGGTTTCGGCCGATTACTCCTTGGCTCACTGTGTTGCGGAAGACCTTAGGATGTCCAGGGGAATAGCGGTTGTCTTTAAAAACAAGTTTGGACGGGTCGACGATCTACGAAGGCAGAATCCCAAAGTTGGAGAGGTGCTTGAAATTGTGGATAAAGAGCAGATAGGCAATAGAAGTATCTTCTATCTGGTAACGAAGCAGCTCTCCCATCAGAAGCCAAACTACCGTGACCTATGGAATGCCTTAAATAAATTGAGGGATGCCCTTTTATCCAAGGACATCATGAACCTGGCGATACCGAAGATTGCTTGTGGACTGGACGGTTTAGACTGGAGAATAATTAGAAGTATGGTGGAAGTTATCTTCAGATTTAGTGGCATACACATTCTTGTCTGTTGCCACAACCCTAAAAGAACAACCGGAAGGAAGACCGTAGACTGCTACTTCTATAGGACGTCACAATGCAAGTTTGGATCTCTATGCAAATATCGCCATGGAGCTGAGGACCATTTTCGGGACGAAAATGTTTTAAGGCGGGGGCAATGTAGCGAGTACCGCCCTGGATATCGGAGTGATGACTCATCGCCGATTAGTCATTGCCGGTGAGTCATCGCCGGTGACTCAGCGCTCGAATAATCGAGAGTGTGGAGCTCGCTGGAATGTTCCAGAAGACCTTGGCGCTGAATATATAAGAAACGGAGCATCACAGAACAGGCAGTTAAGATTTGGTACTCGCGGCGAAATAAATAAATATAAGTGCAAATAAATAGACTCTTGAACAATAGTGATATATAAATAATTAGTAGTTAAGTGTTTAGTTAGTTTTATAGTGATTTATAGTGTTTTAAGTGTAGTTAAGTTAATAAATAAATAGTTAAGTTCGTTAATTAACCAGTGCGTGTTTTTATTCACACTACGAACAGTTAAAAACGTTACAGTAGTATTATCAGAAATATATTCTATACGAATGGAAATCTGTATTACCGGTGCGCCGGTAAAAATGTCAAATTTGTATGTGTTAATCAAAATTTATCCCTTGAAAATGGAGAAACACCAGTTTTTCACAGTAAAAGTGAAGACAATTTTTTATAAGCACTTTACGGTGGAGTCTTCACCCGAAATTAGTTAAATCTAGTTTACTGCCGGCGAAATTAAAAGGTCAGGTCAAATAAACCTATCAAATATTGACGTTGAGAAACTATTTAATACTTTTGTATTTTTGTATTGAGATAATAAAATAATGTTTACATTTAGTATTATTTTAGAAGAGTGGCACTTTATTTTAACGCTTGTATGACATTTTACAACTGCCAACTAACTTAAAACTAACTATAGCCTGTGACTAAAAACCTGTTGCTAATTTTA